TGGAGGGTGCTAAATCTCAGTGTCTTTGTGAGATCCCTGAGAGGGCCATCCCTTTCATGCAAAATATACAAATGAAACAAATTTCTAGGCTTGTGCAAGTCTTGCTTGTATTAAGGAAAGAAGAGTCAACTCTAGTCTGTATAAGGAAGATACAGGTCCTAACATACTGCCAAGAATTAGGTCAGCTTCAAATTCTCTTCGCTTAACTGAGAGTGATTGAAAATTCGGAGTGATTGAAATGCTAGAATTTTCTAAAACAACTATTTTTTAAAAAAAGTTATGATAACTTCAGTCTCATGCAGGAGGTACTCTTCAAGTAATACCGCTGTTCACTGAAGACTAAAAGAGTAGTGCATGGCAGCGCTAGGTTCCCTATGGTTGTTGAGAGAGACTTATTTCCAAAGTGTAACAAGAAGTTTCACCTGTGCTTTCCAGAAGGTATTGTAATGTCAATATCTGATTGGCAGAGAGGAAACTCATGAAGTTCAACAAAGGCAAGTGCAGGGTCCTGCTGGCTGGGGCCTGACCTGCTGGAGAGCAGCTCTATGGAGAAGGACCTGGGAGTTCTGGTGGAGAACAAGTTGACCATGAGCCAGCAGTGTGCCCTTGTTGGCAAATAAGGCGAATGGTATCCTGGGGTGCATTAGGAAGAGTACGGCCAGCAGGTCAAGGGAGGTGATCCTCCCCCTCTACTCGGCCCTGGTGAGGCTGCATCTGGAGTACTGTGTCAGTTTTGGGCTCCTCAAAAAAAGAGAGACATGGAGCTCCTGGAGAGAGTCCGGTGAAGGGCTACTAAAATGATTAGGGGACTGGGGAGTCTCTCATATGAGGAAAGGCTGAGGGAACTGGGACTGTTCAGCCTGCAGAAGAGAAGACTGAGAGGCGATCTTAGCAATGTATATACATATCTGAAGGGAGGGTGTCAAGAGGAGATGGGGCCAGACGCTTCTCACTGGTACCCCACAATAGGACGAGAGGCAATGGGCACAAACTGAAACACGGGAAGTTCCGTCTGAACGTGAGGAAAAGCTTCTTGACTGTGAGGGTGACTGAGCACTGGAACAGGTTGCCCAGAAAGGTTGTGGAGTCTCCTTCCTTGGAGATATTCAGAAGCTGCCTGGACGCGATCCTGGGCAATGTGCTCTAGATGACCCTGCTTGAGCAGGGGGGTTGGACTAGATGATCTCCAGAGGTCCCTTCCAACCTCAAGCATTCTGTGATTCTGTGGATTGCTGCTGTTACAATACCACGTGAAATTAATTCCTCTTAGAGAGGAAATTGCAATACTTTTTCAAGGGAACTTACTCTAGCATTATCTTCACTAGACATCCCAACAGTTGCCTGTCTGCGCAGCAGGAATTAGCTGGAGTAAATACTTTGTCAATATTTTCCCAGCATAGAGCTAGATTAGAGTAAATCCTGCTAATACAAGGTTGCCCGTACCTGCATCCAGTGCAGCAATTTACTGGACTGATGGGAACATTTCTTTGCCTCTCTTGTTTCATTTATTTATTGCAGCAATTTCTTCAGGGTAAATAGCAATATTAAGTGTTCAAACACTAAAATGTTAAAGATGGTTGAAGCTACAAAATATGTGGAAAAAGTTAACTTTCTGAGGTAGAGCTGTTTGGAGTCGAGAGTTTCATTGAAACCCAGTTCTATCCGTTACAGAAAAAAATAGTAATAGGGTGTGACATTACCAAAAGCAAGCCACTGGGAATTTTGAGTTTTACAATAGATAAAATTAAGAGGAAGCCTACAGATTTTATATGTTTGAACGGGCTCCTTTTGCTTTTATTGATATATTAAGCTTGCTAAGAAAGCCCTATCCTAGCACGTCACCTGTGAAGTTCTGCCTGTAAATTATGCTTGTTTGGCACTTTCAGTGATAAATTCTTTAAGCAATGTCCTCAGCCAGGTATATGAGGAGCAAAGATGGAGTGATGTTCTCATGCAGTGCGGGCACGTTGTGTGCATTTCTCTTGGTGCAACTGGGGTTTAAAACAAGTCCAACCTTTGGACTGTGCAGGCTTTGCGCTTTTTTTTTTTTTTCAAAAAATGTTTTAAATTTGCCAGTATTACCCCCTAGTGTTTTGCCAGCAGTACTGGAGATACAAATTTCAGTCAGCCTACTGGGTGAGGTCTCTTGCATAGCAAGGTGTTTTTGGAGGGGGCAGAAACAGCAAAAACCCACAACGTGGCTCTTAAGAATAAGCAGAATGTTTGGCTCCCCTCTAGTTTTGTACAGCTCTTGCAGTACAAAGGGGAGAAATAATCCTCTAATCTGCTGGCAAAAGTTATTAATGTAACTTGAACTCTTTGAGAGAAAGAGATGAAAAAAATCTGTTCCTTTTGTTAATTTTTCCGGTTTGTGCGTCTGTTAGATTACCCTTGCTGGTAATTATGTATTTGTATTCCATTAGCATCTAGTGCTTCTAATCACAGTATGGCTTTTCAGAAATAAGAATTATATAAAGGACAACCACTCAAAAGACTGTGTATTTCTTTGAGCTGTTCCTTATGAAGGTTCTCCAGTCCCTTATTTTAATGAGTAGTCCTATTTGACTCATTTGTTATCTGAGAAAAGGGAATGAATTGGTCAGCCCTTTGCAGTGTGACACTGAGTAACATCACAGCTGATTAAACTTGCTTCTAAATTCCATGTTCTGGAGAAACTTGCTTCTAGACAAAAGCTAAGAACAAAGCTTAAAAGGAAGTTATTTTTTTTCCTATGACTGTCGTGAGGCACATATACAACATCAAAGTCATGTTATGTGTTTTTTGGTTTTTGACTTAGCCTGTTACATCATATTAGGCATAATAGGCATCTATTTTTTGGTATCTATTTTTTGTCCTTGTAGCCTAAGAATGATGGAAAGTTTCTGGAAATATTCATGAATGGTTTTGTAAACTTCAAATGTCTGCTAATTAGAGACTTCTCTAGAGCGCACTGAAAACGTGCACCCAGGATCACTAGACTATAAAAAATGGAAAGCTTGCTCTGTGGGGCTTTGCAATATCCTATTGCAGGTGTGTTTGGAATGCGCCCAATAAGTGGTAATTGCTTTAATGGTTACTTTTTAGGAAAAATCACAGATGTAGCTTTTTGTTGCCATATTGGACTCCTGAAGATAGAGCACCTCCACAGAATGTGCTAATTCAGCACTTGTGCAAATGAAGGATGGAATAGTAAAGGATGGAAACTTTCTCAAACAGAGCTGTGGTCAAAAGTCTAGGAAGTTTATGTATTAGCAGCAAGTACTTGTGTTAGAAGGATCCCCTCTCCAGCTTCTCATTTCCAGTGTTTTTGGTGTACTGAATGCTGAGTTACAGAAAAGTTAACGGGTTTTGCTAATAAAGCCAAATTAACAATTCTGGTTTTGAGCTGCTGGGGAGGTTTTAGAAAGAAGGCTTCAGAGCTGTCAGATGGAAGTCAAAGGAGACATGGGCTCTGAATGTACAGTGAGATTATGGGAGAGTTTCAGGATAGACCTGAAGGGGAAGGCTTGCAAAAACATTCACGGGGAGCTTGCTCCCCTTGCTCCAGCAGCTCAAAGAACCACTCAGAGGATTGTGGCAAGAGGGACGAACCCAAACAGATTCAAGCCAAGCGTCAGAAATGCTGAGAGCAGTGAATGACTGAGTCTGAGCTGTATTTTCGGAAGAGTCTTTGATTTTCCCAAACTACCTTGCTGTTTTGGGGTTTTGTCTGGGTATGACTCAGGTAGCAATGCTTTTTCTGTAGTACTTTTAAAAGTAAAAGAACCTAAATGTCTAGGTGAACCTAATATAGAAATATTTCAACCACCCCTTCAAATGGAGGACACATTTGAAACGTATATTCAAGATAGCTATAGCATACCAACAAATAATTTTCTAAGAAGATGACTTTATTCCATAAATTTATCATGGGCTATGTAATTTAGGGATAGTAGCTGCAGATTTTGTTCTAGCACACAGCAGATGAAGGGCTGATAGAGTTATATGTCTTGATACGAGGCTGGATCTATAACTATTTTTGTATTTTTAGCTGATTGAAGTGCACCTCTGAGTGGTTCAAAGCAGCGACTGTAATGGAGACATTCCATCAATAAGTCAAGACAGAATCTGTAAAAAGAAGAAAGTTTACACTTTCTGGAATGAGTGAAAAAGTGTTTTTTGTATGAGACAGGGAAGACCAATAGAGTTGTCTGTAGTTGAAGCAGAATGCCTATCTCTTGTTGTTCGTGGTAGCCTTTCAGATGTATGTCAGTGTACAAAAAGAAAGAATTAAAATGTAATTCTAGTGTACCTTCTAAGAATAAAACTTTGGACAAATTTTTTGTTATTGCTATACATGAGGTAATCTAGAAAATGATAATAGGGCTTCTTTAGAGGGGGACAAAACTGCACCATAATGTTGCCAACAGTATATTCAAAGAGCTCAGTTGACTGTGACAGCTAATTCAGAGATGGTGTTTTTCGAGATCCATTGCACAGAAAACAGCCTTACATATTGTCAACAATATATTAGATCTTCCTTCATCTGAGAAGGCACTTTTGATGTGGTTAAAGAAGGCATACTTCTTTAATATGTCTTAAGCCATATTAATAGCAACACATTTCAGATAGCTGTTTGTTACTACAAAGTCAAAATAATTTAACTAATTTTCTGCTTGGTTATTTTAAAGACAACAATGAAAACTACATTTCAAATATAAAAAAGTACCAAAAACAGTTTTATTTTTATTTTTGACAATTTATCATTGTTTACTAGGATGACTACAATTAGTTTGTGAAACAGTGTCAGAACACAAGATTGCTTCATTCAGTTGTATCTGACCCTGATATGTTCAGTCAGTAATTCCATGAACCTTCTGTTGGATGAAATATGCAATATGAGTATATAGAGCAATAAGGAACATGCATGTGTTCAATGACTGGGCTTGGTTGGATAGATTTCCTGTATTCTTTGGATTTGCTTTTTAGAAAATCTTCTTTTTTCTTCTCTTTTGTTTTAGATATTGACGAGTGTGAAAATGACTTCTACAATGGAGGTTGTGTCCACGAGTGCATCAACATTCCAGGCAACTACAGATGTACATGCTATGATGGGTTCATGTTAGCCCACGATGGCCATAACTGTCTTGGTAAGTAGTGACTGCCAGCAAGAGGGTTCCTTTCATGGATGTGGTAAGAAAGCCTGATATTGTTACTGCATTTTATCATCTGATACATGTTTTCAGTAAAGATCTGATCCAGACTCCACTAGATAAGTTGAAGTGCGCCCATTGACTTCAGTGTGGTTTATATCAGACCCTTAAAACTGGCACTCTTCATCCTAAACGTACTCAAATCAGTTTGCTGGATGTTTGGGCTTCTTTTTTTTTTTTTTAAGAAAAACAATTGGTCCCACCCACTTAAATGTGCTTTTTCTGTTTCTTCCAACTTTTATAATTCTAGTCATAACTTCAAAAGCTCCTCTTCCCTCTTTTTTTAACTTTTAGGGTAAGACAGTACTAGGATGTTCTATATGAGCATACGTTATTGAATGTTAAAAGTGCAAGTGTGATGAAGGAATACTTAGGCAATAGAATAGGGCAAAGAAAGTTATCAGTAGTAGCTGTTTATAAAGGAGACAGACAAAGTCCACTAACTGTAGAAATACAGGTTCTGAGCAGGATCTTAATTGCTTCAGCAGTCTGGGGTCACTGGATCTGGGATTCTGATTCATGCCCATTCCTCTGATTTGAATGGGTTTGGTTTATCCTACAAACTAAACCTTTAAATAGGTTTGGTTTATCCTACAAGCTTTGTGTTAAATTTCTTCATGCAAATTACTTGGAAATGAGCTTTATGGCCCCTACATCCCTTTTCCTATACCTGCTTACTTGGTGGTTATTTTGGCTGAATCCTAGGGCCCTGTGTTGCCTGCTTTCCAGTCTGTTTATCCAGGCATATGATATACTTTATAAGGCACTATCTTTCTCCAAATTCCTAGTGTAAATACAATGACCACTGTTTGATACAATCACAAATTCATTTCAGGGTGATATGTATAAAATAGTAATGAAAGGGGTATGTCATCTGTCACTCGGCACCTTTACTATGGTAAAAGTTGAGATCCTTTGCAGTGAAAATCAAGAAATCAGGTGGTGAACCAGAAATAATAATGTCCAGTAACATCAGTCTACACTCACTGAAGCTATGGAACAACTAGAATTTCTGAGCAAAGTTTCAACTGGCCTTTCAGTAGATGTATTTCCTATTTGGTTCATTTTCAAACTGAGTAATATTTGTTCAGATGGATTATACATCCTCGCCATTGACAGGTTTTTGACTCAAATTTCCAAATTTGCTTTATCATAGAACAGACTAATGGATTTATTTGCCTCAACCTGAGCTGGTCAAATGATTAATTGTGCAAGAAGTGTTTCTTATACAAAGAGCAGCCAGTTGTTCATTTAAAAAAGAAAGAAAAACTGTATTTGCACTAACATTCATAAATATCTCTTAATAAAAGAGGACACAAGGATATTAAAATACTACACCTACTTGGAATTCAAATAAGTGTGCATGTACATTGTTTCAAACAGCTTGCTATTTTCTACTTTGTTTCCAAATGATCCCCTTAATAGTAGGGAAAAGTGGGTCAGCAAATACAAGCAACAGAAGGAGTGACCTGATAAAGGATGAAAACTTTAGGGAGCCTGCAGAACTTGGTTGGACCTCTCCTGCTGTCTGTATTGTTGCTCTCTGATCATGGTCCTCCATGCAGGTTGGACGTACACAGACAAATTTCTCATGTTTTTGTTCACTGATTTCTATTCAACCACTTGGTTTTTTTGGAAAAGGAAAGACCTACAATAATATAAAGTGTTGTGCTGAACTGATGGTTATGGTTCAAACTCTTGATCCAAGGCTTGCCAAGAGATCTCGGAAATTTGTCAGATTCAGTGTCTGTCTGTATTCACGTTCCACTCTGAGCTGATGTTCTGCATTCTCCCTAAAACATCAGGAACAATGTTGCCTCTAGAAGAGGTTCAGTGAACTAAAGATGAGTGGGAATGATAGCAATGGGCACCCTTTCTTGTAGGATGTAACTTTAGGACACTAAAAGAGATCACCATTGCCATCCTCATGTTGGGACCATGGACTAAGGGAGAATTTGTTCCTCAAATGCAGATGTGAGACCATTTGCCACTGGTCTTTGGTGTGAGTCAGTAAAATAACTGCTCTAGCATAGAGCCACTGAAAAGGGAACAAAAGCACGTTCTTCCTTCTCTCTTTTTTAAAAATGTAAGTGAATTTACTGACAATAAAAGTGTCCGGCTGTGAGGTCTGAAACTGAAGTTTTTAATCCCAGCAGTGGCCATGCAAGTCTGGCCGTTGCGCGTTAACTCGGACTTGATAAGCTTTCTGAGATTAAATCTGTATACACATTAAGCAGGGTTGTAGTGGATCTTTTGTAGACTTATTACATTTCCGTGAAAACGCACAGTAGTTTGATTTTGAAAACCCTGCCTGAATTGCCATTTCATTCAACACCAAGAAAATGCTTGTGCTTGGATGGAAGTAGATTTGCTAGGTGAGACCTAAGCTCAGATTACACTTTTCCTGTCCTCCGTCTTTTGACCTTGAAGATGTTGCTGTTGGGATGCATTTTTACACCACATGGGGAGCCAGGGGGCAATTCGACTGGCTAAGCATAGGTATTTCATACCAGTTAAGACACAGTAAGGCCTCTGAGATATCCCCATAGAGCTGGCAGATGTGGCATGAGATCTACAGGAGCAGATTTGGAGTAGAGCTCCAGAGGCTGGAGACCAGATGGGATGATTTAAGAAATCTGAAATGGCATCACACTCCGGTGTTTGGACAGCTGAATCACTTTCTTGGTGACCTCTGCTGCATTTTATTACACACACGTCACTAGAAATCTTTGTCTAGCAATTTGAGATAGAAAGCTTAGGGATGGTGACCCCATGATAGTTCATTTATAGTCCTGTAGACCATCTAGGAACCTTTAGAAAACAAGTTGTAATGGAGAAGACAGCTACCTCAGGATTTCTGCATCTCTTGCTTGACAGAAGTCTGTGCAAAATCTTAAGCCATCTTTTCTTGTCAGAGGTTACATTCCTTTTTAAACCTTCACTGGATATCTTTTTAGTAACGTCAGTGTAGCAAGATGATTACAATGTTCTTTATAAATAACAAACTTGGAGTATTCGCAACTAATTAGACCAGATGAGGTTGATGGGTTAAGTGTTTTTTCCTGTGTTCCTGTTTCAGCTTTTCTCACTTTTTAATCAAGTGAAATTTCTTATTTATTTATTTGTTGGGAGGAGGTATTTGGTTAAGATTTCATGGCTAAAATTTGTACTGGAAAGTGTCCAAAACTGTCCTCGGGGGAACTCAGCGCACTCTCTATTTGACATTTTTATTGAGGAATTTCTCAAATATAACATGAAATGACACCACAGGGAATTCAAACTATGATGAGGTCCTTGTCTGGCTAAAAATAATTTATTTTAGCACTTTAATCACTTGAAATAGCAGTAGTGCTTTCTGAAATTTGCTCTAAATTCTGTTCAGTGGATGCAAGACTAATATTTGGTCTCATGCAGTAAGTTTTCTTTATCCTTCATTTGAAACCAGTCATGAAATATGTTTTCCTCTCTCATATATGAAATACCAGTCTGGGCTCTTTAATAAGCAGTTCGCTCACTGGTCCAGATGTTCTTTCCTGTTTGATCTTTTTTCTCCATGAACTTATTGATAAATAGATTTTTTTTTTCTTCTTTGTATCTTCTACATATTGAGGCATGCTGTCAACTTCCATTCCCTCTTCCATTTAGAAGAGATCGTGGGATAAGCAATCATCCTTCCCATCATTCCTGAACACTTTACCCATCTTGTTCCTAGTAAATCAGATTCTTTCTCAGTTATCCAATAAAATCTGTGGTTCTGTACTACAGAGTATCTATAGATAAGACTTAATAACCTTTAAAACTGTTTATTCAAAATATACCCCCTGCCGTGATTCAGCATGACACTTAAAAGTTGTTACTAATTTCCGTGGCTTTCTCGATGCAAGATTAAGAAGACTGGACTATCATGTATGTCTAAGTGCATCATTGAACTGAGGCCTCTTTGACAATTGGGTATACTCGTACTCTTTCTTTGAGTCCCGTTGGAGGCTTTCGGTAAGAGAGTTCCTTGGTAGCAGAATTGCTAGAAAGGTGGATTGAGCCTGGAGATGTAAGCCTGTACGTAATACAAATTGAGATATAGGAATGTGGTTGCAGTAGAGAAGGCTTGAGAATTTGTTCTCTTTTCCAGTGAGAATTTCAGGAGAGCTTAGCACAGCTGGCACAATTGCACTCTAGAATGCACTCAAGAGGGTAAGGAGAGAATTTGCTGGGTTCTTTCAGTCTACTTTCAAACTATTGGGATAGGAATTGTCATATGCAAAAAACCCTTCTACTCTTTCAGCACTGATAAGGCTTCCGCTGGTGGAGGATTGTTCGGTTTGGGGCACTGCACTTGGAAGATGCCAAAAGAGAGCAGTGAGAATAGTCATTGATCTAGAAAATATGGCTAATGAGGAGGGAATGGAAGAAAAGAGAGCGTTTTTCTTCTAGGGAAGAGACAATTAAAAAGCAGGTGTAATAGTCTTCAAGTCAAAAAAAGATTGCTGCAAAAAAATGGAATTTTACTGGTTGGTTTTCATAGCCATGCTGAAGCAAATGAGGTGGTGCAATTGTGTTTGGTTACTCCACTTTGGAAATTCAGAGAGTGTGTTGAGTTATTTTCCCTTTCTTCTAAAGAACTCTCATATGGAGTACCATTATCTTACCTCTTTCCTACTGTATAAAAACATAAGCTTCCTGGGAGAGTATTATGTGCTGTGTTGGTCTGAAGCCTCACCAGAGAAGAGAAGAGAGTTTGAGGCTTATAATGAATTACTAAACCTTGGGGTTTATCCAGAAAAAGCTTGCTAGATACCTTGCTGAAAGCAGTTCTCACTGATATTCGTGACTAAGTCTTTCAAAGTTATTCAGCAACTGAAAATAGAAAGTAGAGGAGAACGCCTCATGTATTTGACTGGGAAGCCGAGAGCCTTGCTTCACAAGAGTTCCTTGCCAAA